CCCAGGGTCCTGGGATCGAGCCTCGCATCGGGCTCTCTGCTCAGCGGGGAGCCTGCTTCCTGCAATCTCTCTCTGCCTACTTTGGTTTTTTTTTTGTAAAAAAAAAAAAAAAAAAAAAAAAAAAAGATGTTACAATCTAGTCTGGGAAACTTGTTATGTAAATGACTGATTATGACACAAGGAAAAGTGAAATAAGCATTAACGGAAAGACAAGCTCATCCAGGGTAACACAGATAATGGAGCAATTACTTCTGCCTGAAGGGGAATCAGTGGCTCCCATGCAAAGGTGGTGGCATTTGAGAAAATGTTGGAGAATAGGTATAATTTTAGAGGGATAGTAGAGAACAAAAGACTCTTCACTTCTGGAATAGAATTAGTACAGGCATATAGACACAATTCAAGAGTCGTTTTTCTGTTTTGTTTTATTTTAAGCCAGCACACTCAAGAGGTAACAGTAGGTCTAGAAGAGATGCAAAGAAAAATAAATAAATGCAAGACATACAAGTTTCCTTTTCTTCTATAACTTATATTCTACTTGAAGGAATATCATTTCTATGTAAGTAAATCTGAGTTCATCAACAGCATATAGTTGTCTGGAAGGATTCAATTGAGTGGCAAGTCCTTTAAAATCTACAGTACATGAAGTCAGAAAGAATTCACTATTGCCAGAGGGAGTAAAGAAAGATTCCTAGAACACATGGGATATGAGCTATTTCTTGAAAGATGGATAAAATGTGAAAAGAAAATGTGAAACTACCAACTTCGATGAGTAGAAAGTGCCTTTGGCCCACAATAGGAAAAAACACAAACATACACATACACAGAAATGCATATCTAGGTGAACTCAAATGCCTACAAAGCTCAGACAGATAAATTAAGTGAGTGAAGCAGTCTAGGTATATAATGAAAGGCAGTGTAAGATAATATGACCCAGGCTTAAAGCAAAGGAAGATCACTAAGCTCCAGGCAAACTCTGCCCTAGTATTGCCAGACTCTCCCATTTATGAGGATAAGCCATTAATCTGGGTTAAATGTGTGTGTGTGTGTGTGTGTGTGTGTGTGTGTGTGATATGTATAAAATAAGGAACTAATTCTTAAGACAAAATAAAATTATGTTGGTCAAAACTCTGCTGGACATGTGAAAATTCTTTTGTATCATATTGAGTAATATCTAGTATATGGACCACTAATTTTCAACCTCTGCTGGATTGTGGACTGCAAAAAGTGCCAAAACTAAAACCTTGTATTTTGTCTTAGGATTATTTAAGGTTATAGACCAGAGATGCAACATAAGAAAAGCAAGTAAACATGTTTTAATCTGGCTACAAAATGTAGGATATTTATATGTAAAAAATATTAAATGAAAGGGACTTGATAGGAGTTGCTGCTATCAAATTTTTTAAAATTATTTTTAGATAAAATCCATTTTAAAAGTCTATTGTTTAAATTGGTCACAAGAAAAAATTTACAGAAAAATTTTGGAAATATTTGTTGGTTCAAAATTATTTTCAACTATCTCATGTGTCCTCAAGAAGAAAAATTGCAACCATATGGCCCTTCTCCATTCTCTTATGGGGAGGATTCTGGGTCCACGTTTTCCAGTTTGGGCCTGATGAAGTACTTGATGAGTTGCATTTTATTTGCCTTTATTACAAGTTGCCGGCAGTGAATGCCACCTCTTGGTCAGGTTCATGTATGTGCCTGCTCTCTTTTGGTCCATGAGACTGGCTGACATTGAAACCAGGAGGAGTTTGGTGGTTTGCAACAGATGCTTTTGAGCCTGCTAATTTCTGAATCTGATGAGTCCATAAATCACATATAAAAAAAAAAAACAACACTATTATCAGTCCCCTCTTTGTTTATGTTTCTCCCCAGCCTACTATGAAAAAACTCAAGTTGGTGTTAAGAATATAACTTCTAAGCCTTCACATTAAAGTTGAGAAAGTTTGTTATTTAAGAGAAAAAAGCTAATATATTTCCTCTCCCCTATTGGGAATTCCTGTCAGATGAAGAAGCTTCATAACAGGGAAAAATTGGGCAGAATATCACATGGAGATTACAAAATCATGCTTCTGTTGAGTGAAATGTAGCATTCCAGATGTTGCCTACATTTCACTTAAAACCAACTGCTAAGGTTTATGAACAATGCAAATCCCTAAAATGTAGCAGGGCAGCTCTGCTTCCTAATGCTGAGAAAACACTTAGAAGATCATCAAATCTTGAAAATGTGCTAATGAGCCACAAAGTCTGATTAAAATCAAAGGTGCAATGTTCCAAAAACACTCTGTGACTTAGATAAGCATGGCTTAGGCTTCATCATTGATTACAGTACTTTAAGGCAAATTTTGCAGTGATAAGGAAGTCTCAGTAATAAAAACAATTCACAATAGCTCCTTATTAAGTTATTTTCAGGAAGCAGGGTCAAGACCTGAGAACTGTATAAGAGAAAAGAAAAACAGGTCACATAGACCATTCAATTGCTAAAATGTGAACTATTAAGGCTTCATGACACAAAACATGACATTTCCAATTACTTAATTTGATGATTATTTATAAATAATAAATCCAAGTTATAAGCAGATGTGAACAAAGATGAACATCTTCTGTTATTTAATTATGGAGGCCAGAATAGTTGGAAGTATTTTTCACAGACTATATCTCTGTGGGAGGGAAAATGTTCACATATTTCAACGTTGGTTAAGATCAAACTGATCTAATTAGCATTTTCATCTAATTTATTGCTCACAATTCCCTTTAGTGGGGTTTGCCTTTGATAAATTTCAAGAAAAACTGGAGAACAGTTTGGAATTAAACATATAAAGGAAAGATGAGAATCCCTTCCCATAGATAAGTCAAAAAATTATCTGAAAAACTAAAATGACAAAATTGGAAAGTCATAAATTATAATTACATTAATAATGAGACAGAATAACCCAGAATCATTCTATATTTATTATATTGGGGCAAAGGACATAATTTACCTGGAGAATTTTAATTACAGTTACATACAACTAATTAGAGGAAAAAGGACTTCTCTTTATCTTCTGAATGAATGAATTTTGTAGCCATATTGGTTAGTTATTGTATAAGGTCATTATATATCATAAAGCTATTGACAAACTTGTAATTAAATGTGTAAATAACTTTTACTTATTTTTATTTTCTTATTTCAGATTACAAGAATTGATTGTGAACAGGGTTCCACAACACACTTTACGTCCTGGACAATTTAGAATTTCATTTCTACTTCTTTGCTTGTGGCAGATATAAACTCTATCCTATGGAATCTAAACCTATAAACCTGGTACCTCATAGACATTGTGACCATAAAAGTGCGTTCACAAGATATTACTAATATGATTACAGAACTGAGACAGTGGCAAGATATATGTAAAATCCTGGTAGACTAGACCGATTCGGTTCCCTGCAGGAAATTTTCATTTGGCTAAAAAGAGAACCCCTGATGCATTCTTCTTTTACTTACAATTCCATTCTCAGAAAGTAGAAAAAAAAATCAGATAACTCTGTACTTGATTTGAACAACAAGGAAATACCAGTCAAATTTGGTTTGTGAAGGAGATGCAGAACTCCCATAATACAACTGTCTCCATTAAGCAAGTAAATATATTGCTATACCTCGTTATGTGGTATGTGGTACATGACACAGGGGATCTACCGTGTGCCCTGTTTGTGACATCAGTGGCTTTGGAGTTGTTACAGAAATATAACATCAAGACTTGCAGATGCACCTCCTCTATCTTTCCTTAGCATATCTTCAATGTTTCACTCTTTTAGAAATATTTTTAAAGAGATCATGAGAAAACTACATGCCAACACTCATCAATGATTTTCTGTATCAAGATGTTAGGAAAACAGCAACATTAATCATCAATTCAGAGAACATCAAACTCAGAGAACGATCTTGCTCAGCTTACCTTGAGGTATATCTCTTCAGGACTAGTCTCTAGTGAGGGTTTATTTGACTGTTGATATGTTTCTCTTACTCATTTAAAGAAGAGGCCCTTTCCTTCCCCTCAAAATCACCCGTCCTCATTCCTGCTACTATTTTCATGAAACAATGTACATATTGTCCAAATTTTATATGCCCTATCCATAACCTAAGGAACAATTCTCTAGATAGAATCAATGACTTAAGTATGGAATTTCTAATATTTTAGTAATCATGGGTACACCATCCCCCTAGTTTTAAAAGGTAATTACTAAAAAAACTTCATCTTGGGGATTTCACAGAGCACAACGTGTTTTCATAGGAAAATGTTTTGCCATGATGACTTCTAAAAATAATTGATTGCCCTCTTTCAAATTATATCCACTTTTTTCTAAATTCATTGAATTCATATACTTCTGTAAGTTTCATGAAGAAATATCAATAGCATTAAAGATAAGAATGCATTTTAAGGAGTGATTCAAAATAAGCATTTACTGGCTGATATAGAAAATATTAATCTGGGTGCTGCAACCAAAACAAAATCCTGATTCTATATTTCTTAAGTAATCAAAGAAGATTATGTAAAAGAACAAAATGCTGTTTTACAAACAGACTGTGAAGGAAGGCACAGAGCATTTCTCTGGAAATGTAGGATAAGTTTGCTGTTTAAGAAATGTAAACAAAAGACCGGGGGTACCAAAGATACAGCTAAAAGGGTATTTGGAAAGTACTACATACTTATCATATCTGGCCTAATTGTCTATCTTAACAGTTCTGGCATTAATAAACATTCACAAGTAGCTAAGGCCTGTGGGTAATTCATAAAACACATGTATTTATAAAAGACTTATTTTTCCCAATGAAAATATTTACTTCTAGACACAAATTTTAAATCATATAACCAAAAGATGCAAGGACCTATCAGATGGGAGAGCAATCCATTTCAAAACAAGCAACACAGGCAGAGATCTGCTTGCCATGTGTATGACTGGTAGCTACATGGAAGAAAGTATTAGGAACAGTGGAGCCGTTATTGGGGACTGAGACTTACCAGTAGTTGTCAGGAAGTTAACGTTTCTCATCACACCTTCAGTGTAAGCTCCTGGCTCATAACTGTCCATTTCACCTGTGACAATGTGAGCAACTCTTGCTGCCCGTCCTCTGATAGCACCTGCAGCACGGTCTAAATTATCAACATCCTGGTCTCTCAATGCTATGATACACTTGTTGACATCTTCGAGGATATGGCTCTCTGTAAGAAAACAGATCGAATTAGTATAGCATATTATAATTCATGTTAACTTCTGACTTCAGATGTGGTACTCATTGGGAATAAAGGACACACTGACAAAGAAAAAAAAAGATGATTTTGCTTTTATCTCTTTAATAGAAAAATTTGTGAAGTATAAAATTTTATGTTTTATCTGCAGTTGTATAGATTATATATTATTTTAGATTTTAGTTCCAACTGACTTGATTTTAGATTCAAGTGGCATATGGGTGCAAATTGAAAATTTTTGGATTAAAATAAAAATAAAACATATCATGACGGAACACTTAATTCTGATTAAAAGCAACACTGTACAGATTATAAAACACTTAAAAAATGTCAGTTATCCTAAATATATAGAAAAATAAAATTATGGAGCTCTAATTCAACTAATGTTCATTGGTGTATAACAGAATTTAAGTTATAGTGGAAGCTTCCCCATACAGCAAGCAATTCTCTGGACACCCAATGAGTGTTCTACAATTCATTTCTGATACTACCTACCCAGGAATAGCATCAGATTCCACAAGTTAAGGAGTCATTCCTGTAAGACTGTCCTCCACCCCACATCAGAAACAGTTGCAAGTCCAGGTTATTACTTGTACTTCTAACTCCACTGGCTATAGATCAGCTACCATGACCTCCTCGTTGGGTTTGATTGATTTGCTAGAGTCGCTCACGGAACTCAGAGAAATTTTACTTGTTAGATTTAACTTTTATAATTCAGGACAGCCAGATGAAAGGGATGTATAGAGCAAATTACGTGGGAAGGGTAAGGAGCTTCCATGCCTTCTCCAGGTATGCCATTTTCCACACATCTCCAAATAGTCCCAACTTGGCAGCTCTCTAAACCCTGTCTTTTTTGGGTTTTAGGGAGGCTTCATTACATATGCATGATTTATTAAATCACTGGCCTTTGGCAAATGATTCAACCACCAGTCCCTCTTCCTTCCCGGAGGCCAGAAGATGGGAATGAAAGTTCCAAAGTTCCAACCTTCTAATCACATGGTCAATTATCTTGGCAATCATCCCCCAGTGGAGCATGGGGGTGGGGTGGATGATACAAATGTCATCTCATTAACATAAAAAAATACTTTTATTGCTCTCATCATTTGGGAAATTCTAAAAGTTTTGAGTTCTGTACCAGAAATGGGACAAATGTTTGTACCAGAAATGGGAAAAACACCAAATATATATTTCTTACAATAGATCACAGTATTACCCTTGCCAATTTTCTTTGGTCTGCTTGATTAACTCATACTATAATTTCAAAACTCTAGTCAAATAAATGTTCCTTCCTCAGGAAATCCATGCTGACCTACAGCAAGACAAATTTGGTTCCATATAGTTTGGGATTCCCATTAAATGGCTATATGTTTTCATTACAGCTTCTTCCCATGTTTTAATGATGTACTAATCGAACAGTCTCTCTATTAGACAATGAAATATATAAGAGTGTAAAAATTTTATTTTATTGCTTCAGGTATCACATCTAGTCCCTAGTACAATATATGGCACCTATTAGACCAACAAGAATGTTTGTTGAATGAATGAAGTCCTCTGGTAACACACCTAGCACCAGTAAATTATTTTGTCTAAATCCTAAATCTTGGTTTATGAACATAGGTAGATACATATCTTTACTTAAATTTAGTCAGTTTAACCCATCTCAAGGACAATCAGGTCATTTGCATGAAAAGGATTAAATGCTGAAAACCTTCATTATAAATTCACTAGTTTTAACCTAATTTGTAGCATTCACTTATGAATATGTTATTAAGGCCTATAATAAATCCAAGCACAGTCCCATCTCAATAGAAAATGCATGTATATCATCACCATCATATTTCTAGAACTGAAAATACAAGTTTCAATATAGACAGTATAAAATCATCAGTTCTTTTATTTTTTTAAGACTATAGATGTGCACTTTAACAACATAGTAAGAAGCTGTTATTGTTCAGGTATGTTGGTAAGTTTTTTTAAAACAAATACTACTGATACATATATATATATATATGTATATGTATACACACATAATAAATGTGTAATCTGTACTCACTAAATTATGCACTAAAATATTCACTAAAGATGGTTAATTTGGGATTACAAAGCTGTTTTGGCTCAGTACTATAGAAGTGAAAAAATAGGGGAAAATGGTGTTTATTCTTAGAAGAATAATTATCTAATAAACTGTAATTTCTGTTTAATTAAAGGTGAAATCATGGCTGGCGCAAACTATTTTTTCCTAGTAAATTTTGCACAAGAAATAATATATATATACAAAGAATATTCACTAAGAATGAATTGAATGTTCCCTCTTTTGTAGAACAATGATATACACAGTCATCAACCTATTTTATTATTTAAAGCATAGACTTAAAATATAGCAAGGGTTTTTCTGGCTCTTTTTTGCTGGCTTTATGAGAGTTTGTGTGATTATTGCTTTAGATTGAACCTCATAATAAGAAGTCATATTATTAATCACATTGAAGAATTATTGAGGGGAGGTCAGAGATGGAAATGAAAGTCCTACGTGAACATATACAACACGTAAAAAATAAGTGAAATAAGTGAAGAGAAACATGTAACCAGACTTTACCCGAAGCAGTTATATTGAGAATGTTGAGATGATGACTAAATGATCTTTTGAATTACTAAGATTAAATATAGCACAAAAGCATTAGGAAAGGTTTGCAAAATTTCCATTATTGTGACACTTTCCCATTACCCTGAATGTTTCACAAGATGCCAGAAATTATTTGCATGAAATTCTAAACATAGAATGCCAGAAAAAGAAAATAAGAATGCTGGGCACCTCCCACATATGCACAATAACTAAACATTAAACTCTTTTCTTAAAAATAATGATTTCTTTGCTATTCCTATTTCAGGTGAATTTAAGTAGCTAGAAAGGCCTTCAGGATAGCTTGAGTTTTTATGTCCAGCTATATAACCTTCAGCCTCTAGGACAGAAATTAAACACCAAATACCTTGTGTAAAACTTCTTACTGATGTATCTCTGAAGCTTTTGCTAATGAAACAGGATTACTTGTTAGACATAGCAGAGCTCGTTAGGAGCTCTGCCTTCATTTTATTTATTTATTTTTTAACTGTAGATGCACTTGAATTAAAAAATTACCTCATTTTTAAAATGAGGTTTAAGAGAAAGAAAATGCTATTATAGAACAAGTACATTCAGAATACTGCATTTTTTGTAGAATTGATTGAAGATTTGTCTTTGTTTCAGAATTCCAGTTTAACATTTGATGTGAGGTGAGGAGTGGAATGTTCTGGTGTTAAGGCAAGTCCTGGAGTACATTATTTTTAGAACAGAGAATTGCTGAAGTACTAACAATTTCTATCAATCATTTTATGGCTATCTGGAGATGCAAAGGGTGACTTCTATTATGTTGGAAAACAGTAATAAACAAAGCAATAAAGGAAAGGATCTTAAACAAAAAGATAATTCATCTATTGCAAATTACTCTGGGTAACTCCATCTCCAGTCACTGTGGCATCACACAAGAAGATTTTAAAGTGCATTAAATTTTTTTCTAGTTTTTTTTCTTAATTCTTCAGTTTTCCACAATTAAAGCCAGACTTTGCCTTAGAGAAAGTAGAAAATGCACACACACACACAAAAAAATCCAGAGAGAACAAAAAGTTAATTTATTGACTTTTGACTTCCAAAATAGAATTTTAAAATCCATAGCCTAAAGAAAATACTGGAAGTAGAAGCACATTTTATTTGCAAAAAGCAGACTTTGTTGAGAGGTAAAAAGTCTGTTTTCTTTTCATTCCCAAAGCTGGGCTTTGAATATATCAGTGACAAAGCCTGAAGTAGTGGAGGCTTTATGTTACAATCTCTTGAGTGGGGAATACTATACCATCAACGGTTTTCTCCCCTGATATCTGTGTACCTAAAACACAATTCTAAGGGGAAGAGAAGAGAGAAAAAGATATTTTTTCTAAAGATTTTTTTTTCCTAAAGAGACTGAATTATAAGCCAAAAGAGGTTAAATTTCTTAAATTGGCAATGGCAAGATTAGCTATTCACAGTATATGAGCTCAGAGAGTTAAGCTAAGTTTAATTATAAGAAAATAAATTTCCATTTTTGCACACCTGGACCTATAACTATAAATGTAAAATTCATTACATAGGCAAAATTCATTACATAGGCAACTACACAAATAAAAACAAACACAGCAATTTTTCTTTCTCTTTTACCAAAAAATGTGAAACCAAAAGCAAATGGAATACACCAGTTAAGTTACTTTTTGTTTATGTATCTAAGGTGGTCAAAATTTCTATTTGGCAAGAATTTGATCATGAAGACTGGTCTCCAAATTAACTGATACCCTCAATAAAGATGTAGGCAGGCACAGGTACTATTTTGAGAATAAAGAGCATGTACAGAGCTAAAAAGAAAACATTTTAAAATTCCTCATCCCTTTTCTTCTTTTTTTAATTTAAATTCAATTAGCCAACATATAGTACATCATTAGTTTCAGATGTAGAGTTCAATAATTCTCCTCATTCCTTTTCTACAGCCTAAAAACCTTTCATCCATCTCTTCTCCTGAACATAAGTAGTACTTCAAGTTAGATGATGAGGTGATATAAAAGATAAACAAGGTACAATCTCTGTCCACAAAGACTATACAAGTTAGTAAAGAGAAATATCTTCTTTCATCATCCTTTACTCTTCCCAAAATACAGATGCCACAATTATCACCATTTTATCATTCTAATGAAGTTTCGTTAAACTTTAAAAAAAAAAAAAAAACTCTAAAGTATTTATGCACATGCAATTCTATAGAAATCAAAAACCACAAAAGAAAGTCACTGAAACCTTCAAATTTCTTTCAGTATGTCTTAAGTAGGCTCTTAGAACGTATTAAAAAAATTATCAGAAGCTTAGAAATAGGCAAAAGTACTATTGCATGCCCTTGCAGTGTCCTGCTGGGCAGAAATTATGA